TAGTAAAACATTATTAAATTAATTTTAATGATTTAATTAAATTATTTGAATCATTTATTAATTAAATTCAATACATAAGTATTAATTTTTTTGCATTTATTTATAACTCTATTATTATTTATTAAATGAGAGAAGCCTAATAGAAGCATTTCTGACATTATATAGTTTGCTTGAATGCTTTTAACTTTTGCAAGTTTTTAAAATCAAATTGTTGTTTTGTCTCCACACTCATTCATTCAGTTGCAGTTATTTTTGAGTCAGAAACAGTTTTCATTAATCGGCATTAACAGGTGGAAAATGGAAACAAATACCAGCCCTCCAGTGAGATGGAATCAGCCTACAGCACATGTAACTGATTGACAAAAACAGTTTCTGTTGTTAATATCTGTCAGCGAGTCAATAAAATCTTTTGATCCAGGAAAAGTCAAGACCATTCAAAGCTTTGTGACAGCCCGTGACAATCAAATTACACAGCGGGGTGCACCCAGGTGCTTGTGTGCACCTCCCCATATAAAAGAGCCTGTTTATCCATATCAAATCAATTCATGTCTGCCTTTTTCCTTCTGCAGAACAAGCATGCTGTACAATTAAACCTGCTTTAAGACTCTCTCCACATTAATGTCCGTATCAAAATTCATAAAGAATCGGTAAGACGAGAATCCTGAGCTCGTAGATTCACGGGGATTTCACATGAAGCCCGTTTAATCAGGATAACACTGTTATTAATATTCATAAAGTCAGCTGGAATACAAATGACAGCCTGAAGAATCTGGAAACTTTTTGCGGAGGAAATGCATTAAATGCAGCTTAAAAAATTAATGGAATTTAGTTTATATTAGAGGGAAACGCCAAACCCCCCTCATCGAGCGATTGAAATTGGGCTTAGACATTTCTTTTTGAAGAATTCCATCTTTGACAGACATCAAAGGCATTTTCAATGAATGCGATGCATGAATGGTCATTTAAAAGGATTTAAAGACATTACACTGCAATAATTGTACATGAATAATAAGTAGCCCACCGAGGCAATTAGCTTAAAGTCTACAAGACAGGAAAATGAAGATCACTGAGTGACAGCAAAGGACAAATTGAAATGAGAAAAGTTTGAAGGAAGGATAAAGTGGCTTTAAGTGGCAAATGCTGTTTTGCAGGATTTGAGCTGTCTTTTACATTTGATGTGGGCTACTAACCTGTTAATGTTTCTTTATTTACTCACGTTTTATCCCCGTGAATGAATATTGATGAAGGAAAAGCTTCCTCTTTTGTATCTTTTTCACATGTCTAGAGAGTTGACAGATACGTTTTTAAATTGCTCTCATTGACACATTTTCACATTGTAATTACCACAGTATAGAAAAATAATAGAGAATATTAATATTATATAGATATACATATATAATTTTTAAGAAATTATTCACCACTAGCATCACAAAATAAAATTGCAAAAATAATGTTTTTATGTAATTGTTCTCAAACAGGTTTCCCGAACATATATATCTCTGTCTACATTGGCCAGTCAAACAGATAGTCCCGCCCCAAACTCATACCATTGGTTGAGATAGTTCTACTGTGTGCCACAATATTAATATATGTTTGGGCAGTCAACTTGTGAATATATTACAATTTCTGGATATGAAGCTGGAATAAGACATAGTATTTTAACTAAAAAAAAAATCACACACTTTAATTCAATCAGTGACCGTTAACTTATCTTTTGGTACTTTTAACTGTTTAGCTATTAGGTTTGTGATTTATGTAATCATTTGAGCATTTACTTAAGAGGAATAAAATGCAATTAAACTCTAATTTGATTTAAATCAGCTCCTCAACTAGCCGTAGAGCCACTGTTTATACACAATGACTGGTTATTGGCTTCATTGTAGCATGTTACACTCTGCAAGCTTTGGAGTGAATGTAGTTTTTCGTCACTGCCCTGCAAGCACCAAGGCTAATAGCTCATTAATCTATCATGAAACTCCTGCAGATTATGCAGAAAATGTAGATGTGATGCTAATACACCATCTGGAACAGGAGCCGCAATGAAACAGGCCTCCTATTGCCACTCAGCACAATTCAAACTTTCATTAAGCCAGAACGAGCTCTTCCCTGTTTTTCAATATCGGATTATTGGATAGTATCAGTTTCATTAAGTTTCTTGGGGGTGGTTCTCTCAGGAAACGGTGTCAATCAATGAATCGGTCCAAATTTATTTGGTAAAGCGCACTTTTCTGGGAACTGTTTAACGTGTCTCGCTGAAAATTACGTGAACATCAAAAGGTCAGGTTTGTATGCTTTGTGTTGTTTTTTTCCCCCTTTCTGTCTTTTCCAAAGCTGCTTTCTCTTGTTAGTGGTAACGGATTACCAGGCGTCTTAGCCGTACCTACTATCTTTAAAGTCTTTCTTCATACTCGTCCTCCTCTCTTTCTCTGTGAAAGTGCGGTGTGCGGGGCCAGCTCCCGCTCAGAGTCTATCACTGAGATTAATGGAGCCCTGTGGTGTTTGGCACAAAAAGCCAGTTGTCCGTTCACGCCTGACTGCGTCTGAGCTGAATAGCGTGTGAGCGGTGTGTGCTGGCTTACAGCGCGGGGATAACGTTCCACTGGCATCTGCCCCAGGGGTCCCCCCCACCCGCCTCGCGCACAACCTCCCAAGAGCACTCACTTTTTATGTCTTCTTAGCTCTCTTCTGCCAACTTTCTCTCATGCTGTCTGCCCTCCCCTATATCGTTTTCATGAGCTTTGGTCCCTTTTCCCAAGAAACTGATCATTGTTTGTCCTGTGGTTTTTCTTATTTACATATACCATCTTTAAAGATGCTGGGAATTAAAAATAGTTGAATTTTTCACCCTTAAAAATAAGGGTTTCACAGCAGTGCCATAGCAGGGCCATTTTGGGTTCCTCAAAGAACCTTTCAGTGAAGAGTTCTTAAAATAACCATTTTCTTCTAAGTGTGAAGATCATTTTAATAATCTAAATATCTTTTACATTTTTCCTATAAAAAGGATGGATGCCAATAAAGAACCTTTTGTTTTTAAGAGTGTGGCTTTTAAAAATGTCTGTTAACTTTGTGGTCGTTTATGTGCTTTGGTAGTGTGCTCCTAAAGGTTGATCAAATTAACCTTAATAAATAAATAAACATAATAAAATTAAATAAACAATGGGCCTATCCAAATTTTTGTCCAATCTTGATCAGTTTTGTCCAAGATTCTTTCTACATAGCATGTAGCAAGTCATAATTCACTGATATGATTTAAACTAAAAATTTAAACCTGCTGATTATTTAAAAAATACATTTTGATATGTTTTGCCACTTCTTAAGTAGACCACTACCATTCAAAAGATTTGTTTTTTTAAAGATTCTTATGCTCATAAATGCTGCATTTATATAAAAACAGTACTGTAAAAAAAAAATATATATATATATATATATTAAAGAACATTTTCTATTTGAATAGATTTTAAATTATATTTTTTTCCTTGTGATGGCAAAGTTGAATTTTCAGCAGTTTTCAGTGTCACGTGATCCTTCAGAAATCATTCTAATATGCTGATTTGATTTCTTAACAGTTATTTTTGTGGGAACTGTGATGCATTTGTTTTTCAGAATTCTTTGATGAATAGAAAGTTGAAAGGAATCGTTTTTTAGCACTATAAATGTATTTACAGTTACAGTGCTTTTCATCAATTTAATGCATCCTTGCTAAATAAAAGTATTAATTTCTTTCAAAAACAAATCTTACTGACCCCAATCTATTGAACGGTGGTGTACATCAACACAGAAAACGAAATGTGTCAATCCAATGGTTTCATAAGGTCTTTTAGTTAAACATAATGAGCAGTTCAGCACAGAAAATTGAAAATGTTTAAGAGATGCATGAAGAACAAAATCTTTCATTCCAGAAGAGCTTTCTAAGCCAAGATGCGGGATTCTATTGCTGTTTTTGTGTTTTGTGTTCACCGTATGTTTTGCACTCTTAATAAAAATTTTTTTTTAAAAATGCAGGATTCCAACTGGAAATATTAGGTCATTTTTGCTATAATATGAATTAATACAATATGAAATGTCAAGGAAAGTGTTTTTTAAGCTCTAAAATATTGCTTTGGCTAGAAATTGCACTTTGTGAGTGCAGTCTCAGATTTTTGTTGAAAATCCTGCTGGTGTGAGAAGTGGGAACCTTTTAGAAGACATTTGTGACTTATGAAGGTTTTCCTAACTAAAGTGGTTCCCAAAAAATAACCAACCAGGAAACACGAGGGAAACATTCTGCGTTTGTCTGCTTCAGTCCGACCCTTTCTTGAAGATACACCTACAGTTGACAGGACTGAAATGGTAAGTGTTTACGTTTGTAAGACCCCGGTGTGTGTTGTGTTAAGAAGTTCTTGTCTCAGAAGCTCCACCACTAGAGGGAAGCTCTCCACCACGGCTCCTACCACCAGCGATCAACAGGCTCTGCCGTCTGAATGTCAGCGTTCCTGCTAATTGCCTCCTGTCTGTTTGTTGCTTGCTTATGAATTAGCTTCCGTTCACGGAACTAAATTATCCACCATTATTTAATTACACCTGAGTAGATGACGCTTTAATTGGCGCTTCCTGACTAGGATCTGATATGGCTTGAGCTGTATTAAATGGCTGTTTACTTTTCTGATAGCTAAAAGCATTAAAACGATTGCATGGTGGGATTACGCTTTGTTAATTGCCCGCGTTCATTAGTCCTCCGTAAACGGTGAGGTAAAGCACTGGTACACAGTGGATGAGATAAAGACAAAGTCTTAAAGCATAATTTCACACAGCAAATTAAAAGCCGCCTGTCTTGTTTTGCTGCCTCTACTCCAGACGTTATTAAAGATTGCTCTCCACCAAGCACCCCGAGATCATATTGACAGGCTGTAATTAATACTAACCTTTCTAAGGCTAATGGAAAAGGAGTGAGCTAGAGCCTGTGAATGAAAAGCATTTTTTTCCGCAGTGAAATTAATCATACCCCTTCTATATATTTCCAGCTAATCCTAAAGTCAATGAAGAACTGAAACAAAGGCTGCCGTCCCCAGTAAAGCACCATTGTTCAGAGACCACACCACAACTTGGGTAAAGATGCCTTCTTCGGCTCATTTTACACTGTTTGTCAATGGCTTTCTTCCACGTGTTACAATTAAGGACGATTTTTTAATATGTGCGAAATGTTTATCAGTGTACATTGCAGGCGCGCTGTAATGATATCTTTGCAGAGATGTGTTTTCTAAATCCAAAACGGTGTTACAATGTTTAAAAATCAGCCGCTAGTTTAGTTTGTTCATCCTTAGTGTGATGCAAAAGTAAATTGGTTGCAGGTGAAATGTATTTTGCAATGGAAGATTTTATGTTAATTATTTGAAAGCATTTCAGTACTGAATTGGCTCACTTTATGATTTAAACTTGTATTTAAGTTATTATTTATGACAAATTTATTGATTTACACTTTGCAGTAGAATTGCTCTGTTTTTGTAGAGAACTACAACTTAACTTAACATCACTGAACAATTGAAATATGAATTTTGTTTGTAAATTCTATATTTATAGCATTTTAAAGCAATATACACCTGTAATTTGTTTTTTATTTGTGTATAGTGAAAGTACACATTGTAGATACTGAAATTATAAATTAGCTCAGTTTGCAATGCGTTTAAAGTACATGTTGGCTATATTTTTACATTTTTAGTGTTTAAAAGCAATATACATTGCAAATATAGTAGTATTTTTATTTACGTCTGACACTGATTGTTGTGTTTGTTTTGCAGAAGAATATGACTTGTAAAAAGTCTGTCCTCTTTGGGTCAGAACTCTTGAAGGTCTTTGATATTTGCTTCATGTCCTTGCTTTACTCAGCGCTTTGAAACAAAACATGCAGCTCCTTCAAAGCAGTGGCATTGATGTACAGTTTGTCAATATCCTGTACCTGTCTTCACCTGAGTGTGTCAGACAAAGTGCACTGCTGTTAGATATCGAAGGGGACAAAATAGTGTTGGTTTTATATTTTTGTTTTGCGTATTTATACATTTCACATCTATTTTTATTATTTTTTTCAGATCCTCTTTAGTTGAAACTACCTCCGCTACATCCCAATGTCAGAGTTTATCAAAAGCCCTGGAGGAGAAACTCGTACAAGGTAATGAATTATAAATTAGTTTTATTGTGGCCATGATAATAGCAATCCAATCACAACAAATCATAGCAGAAACATATCTTATTAAAAAGTGAATTGTGTTATTTTACAGTTATAAGGCTCTTTTTTTCTTGCCTCATTTGTTGACTATTTGTGCTACAACCATTTCCATCTGCATTTCTGCCAGAATGTGTCTGTTTTTATGACTAAAGGCTTGTATTACAGGCTTCCCGATGTATAAATGCTCTATATAGTATATTAACAGTTATTTACATGTTTTTATTTATCTACATAAACATTTGTTTACATTATTCCATAATGCTGGGCTGCTACGTATTAACTTTACCTAGGCCATAACGCTGTAGAAGAGCCACTATTTAGATAGACTGGTTGGAATGACAATGAGAGATAAACAGAATATTTACCAACCCTTCACCAGACGCTCCTGATATGCAAATTTATTCTGCCTCACTGCTCAAATATACATTTGAGCTGTTGGTGAAACACTTCAATCTTTTTGCAGGCAGTTAATCAGCCTGTGTTTGATTATTAGTGACAGACATTAGTAAGGTGGCACGAGACCGTTAGTAGAGTGAATGGAGGAAATGGTCATGTCTGATCATTTTTTGCACCATTTAGATTTGACTTAAACATACTTTTTAAATGGCAATTATGAACATTGCTAAATTTGAATTGAGGCAGCAGACAAGATGCAGAATTTAAATTTGCATTTAAGAAAGTAGAATTAAAATGGAATGAAATTCTAAATGAACACGGTTCAAACAACACAAAATTTTAGAAATTTTTAGAATTTCAGTTTTTTTTCTGTTTAATAATTCATATTAGTTGCATTAAAAAAAATATTTAGATATTTAATACATATGATTTATTATTATATTTAATATTTTACATTTTATTTTATAGACCACTGTTGAAAAATACTTAATTACTCAAAATGCTTGATTAAAAGTCTTAAAATCAAAAAGTGTGTCAAATTAAAACCTCAAACTGAACATCCAAGTTATCCATTCTTGCCCATTTTGTTGTTGTGGACAAATGTAGGTCATTTCTTGTATAACTGTATTCAGTTTCTTCAAATTAAATTCTTTTTCCATTCTAATTCAAATTCAAATTCAGTATAATATGGTTTGTGGTCAATTCAATTCAAATTCACACTCATCTTTTGAAAGGGAGCCAATACTTCAGTTCTGAATTTGCTTTTAATGTTGATCCTTTCATACTTGGTTCCCATAAGAAATGGGCCTTTACTTTGCACGCTTAAATTAAAAGCCCTGCTCACCCCATTTGTGAGGGAAATGGCGCTTTAAACACACATTCTCAGGGGCAGTTACCTTTGTGAGAGACACCCGAAGAGGGAGATAAAATTAAAGAAGTAACCCAGGTTAGGGAACAATGTATCCAAAAGTCGCATATTTGCAGTGTGACAAAGAGCTTCTATAAGTGTGTTTGGCGTTATTATTCATGGTTTGAATTTCGTGTTTGCACGGGTGAGTCTTACGGGGAATACTAATAACTGTCTCCAGCAATCCTGAGAGCAGAGCCCTAGCAACAAAGCCATGAGGCAGACCTCCCTGATCTCGACTTCAAAACCTGACCTTTCGCTAAATAATTGTGGCGGCTAAGCTGGAGCTTTTTGGACATCGTGGTCGCAAGACTCGAGCATCACAACTCATTTATTAACACCGAATGATTCCCCCTTTTTTGATGCTTTTGATTTAAGCGCTCTGTTGCTTGAGTTTTGCTCAATTTGAATTGCACTGACGTTGAACTGATTTATGTATATTTTATAATCGCAGGACGGCCAGGCGGCTTTTTTGTGTAGCACTTGACCTTGTGCTTTCACTTAGTGCTACTATCTGTTTAATTTGCTTGTAGATGTAAAAGCTGAAGCGTGTCATTTTTCTTTCCTGCTGTAAGGAAACCATTTGTAGGTTGATTCCACTGAAATGTGCAAACATTGTGGCTTTGTGGCGTTATCAAAACATTGCTCTGTTTGTTGAGCATCCCGACCAGCCCCACCCAGCAACACTCAACCAATGGTGTGAATTTGGGGGAGGGAGTATCTGTTTGGCTGACCAATGGCAGACAAATTCAGGAAACCTGTTTAAAAGACATTGTTTTTACCTAGAAATTACGCACTTTACCTTTAAAAGTAGTTTATACACCCTCTGCTTCTCACAATTTCAACATTTGTTGTATCTTTCAAGTCTCTATCTTGACCAGTTTTGTCATCACAAATTTGCACTTGTTTAATATGTCTCTGATTTAGGGGCCGTCGCTCTTTGGTTTTTATCACAAACGATCCGGGTTGCATCCAGCTTTCCCTAAAGAGAAAAGCATGTTTTCAGAAAGGCTGCCAGAGAGACAGGCCTCTGTGTTTGCCTCTCCGCCTGTATCTCTGGCCCTGAGCGCTACAGAAACATTGACAGAAGACCTTGTTTTCCCCCTCCTGCCAGTCACTCGGCACGGATCGTCACATTCCCTCGTGAAAGACGGCCAGACCTAGTTTCCTTTTCAGAAAGCTGATGCAAACCAACCAACAGAGCTGCCTTTCAAACGGTCAGACTGTAATCTCACAGCAGAAGAATGGAAGTCTTATATGTTATGGTTGCAACATCTTGTGGGTTTTCCTTTTCATTTAGCTCCTAAAGCTTTTTCTGGATGCTAAAATACTTTTTATTGAATATGCAGTCAGCTTTAGATTGGTTCCACTGAATAATCTAAACAGTGTGGCGCTTTTGAAACATGCTCCATTTGTTTGAGCATTCCAACGTTGACTCAACCAATAGCATTAGTTTGGGGTGGGATTGTCTGCATGGGCGATTGATAACAGATAGGGGAATGTTTGGAAAACCTGTTTGAAAACGGTAATTATTTTTTACTAGCTTGTAATTGTAGAAGATAAAATAATCTAAATTTGGATGTATTTGTTCACACAAAAATTAATTCTGTATGATTTTCTTTCTTTTTTTTTATGCGCTTTTCCTTATAATGAATGTCAGTAGTGATCCAAAAATGACTAAAAGCTTAATATCAAGTCATTTGTGTGAGTAAAAGGCTGAAGTTTAAGTCGTTTTTCAATGATAATCTTTTTTTAACTGCAGTGCAGTTCTCAGAATTAACTCATGTTCGTGTCAAATATGGCAAGGTCAAAATATATGACACCAGATTTGAAGTAAATAATCCCAAATGTCATTTGTTCTCACGTGTCTCATAGCCAATCAAATTGTGCCAAATTTGAATATGAGGATATTTCAATCGCATAAATGAGATTTGAGAGCCATTGTAGTGGTGAAGAAGATTTCCAGTGAATGAGACTTAAATTTCACTCTGTTCTTCTCACAAAGCCATGGTATTATAATGGTAATAATCAGAGGTGCCCAACCTGTTTACAACGAAGGACAAAAACTTAAAATAAATGTTGCATTATATTAATATTCTCTATATTTCAATGCAAAAAATAAAACAAAAAGATCACTTAGAAATGAAGATGTGTGTGACATTTTCCCACCCTCCTGTGATATTGCATGTCGGGCCAAATCAATAGTCATTGCAAGCCAACTTAGTGTAATAGCCATATGGAGAACTTTATTGACTTTTTAAAAATGTTTTGGAACATGATCGCACCTGGTGGTTACTATAAAAGTGAAGCAATGAAGTGTAAGAAATAAGTATTGCCCTTTCTATGTTATTGTGGCTCTTGCTTACTCTTACTCTGTTTTTTTTTCGTGCAGCTTCTAAGATTCCCAAGCCCAGAGAAAGTTTGACGCTCAGACTCCCACCACCCCCACCCGTGCCAGGCCCAGTTACAGCTGAAGTGAGAATCATGGAGGAGGAGAGACGGTCTCCACAGAGACCTGCGGCACAGCAGGAGCAGGATATTAACGAGACAGCCAGCAGTCCGGTCCACACACCTCACGTCAGCAGGGCAGGGTCTGCCGTACTCAGGTCAGGAGAACAGAGAGACTCACACACGGACACACTCATTTACACTGAGTAATAACAGTCCAATAATTATTAGGGCTGAAAAATGTATTCTAATTTTAGTTTGCAGCTTTTTTAGCATCAGCCTTTGTGTTTTTACTTTTATGTTTCTTGATAGTGTTTTCTTTAGTTCGTTTTAGTTTTCCTGTTGACTAGAAACAATTACCCTATGTTCAAAATGGAATACTACCATACTACATACTGTATACTGTGCAATATATGTAGTATACTGCATGCTATACTCCTTGTTGTGTGTGTATGTCACTATATGTTTTTTTTGTACATTAATGTAAAATGTGTTAAATGAAAATAAAAAAACATTAAATGTAAATCAGTATGTAATGATAAACAACGATAATGCTTTGTTGTTGTCATGTAATCTCACTGCTTTAATACATTTACATTTAATGATTTAGCAGATGCTTTTATCCAAAGCGACTTACAAATGAGGATAACTATAGAAGCAATCAGACCAACAAGAGAGCAACAGATTACAAGTGATGTGACAAGTCTCAGTTAGTCTAGCACAGTACACATAGCAAGGATTTTAAAAGAGAAAAAATGAATGGAATAGGTAAGTGCTAGTATTAATTGGTCAGATACGGATGAAAAAGATGTGTCTTTAGACGTTTTTTGAAAATGGCTAAAGACTCCACTGCTGAAATTGAGTCGTTCCACCAGCTGGGAACAGTCTAAGAAAAGGTCCGTGAGAGTGGTTTTGTGCCTATTTGGGATGGCACCACGAGGCGTCATTCACTTGCAGAACACAAGCTTCTGGAGGGCGCATTAGTCTGAACTAGTGAGTTTAAGTATATTGGAGAAGAGCCAGTAGTTGTCTTGTAGGCATCAGTACCTTGAATTTGATGCAAGCGGCTATTGGCAGCCAGTACAAACTGATAAAGGAGAGGTGTGACGTTGGCTTTCTTCGGCTCGTTGAAGACAACTCTCGCTGCTGCGTTCTGGATCAGTTGCAGAGGCTTGATAGTACATGCAGGAAGGCCCGTAAGAGAGTATTACAATAGTCCAGTCTGGAGGGAACAAGAGCTTGGACAAGGAGTTGTGTGGCCTGCTCTGATAGGAAGGGTCTAATCTTTCTAATGTTTTATAAAGCAAATGTGCAGGACCGGACCGTTGTAGTAATATGTAATATAATATATATGTAATATAATTCTAATAATAAATAATTATAACAAATAAATGGTGTATTTATTATAATATATATGTTATAATGGTGTATATAATGTTATACCACACAAATGTAGTAGGTCATCCAATTCTTCTGTGTGTACTAAAATTTGCATACTGTGCAAAGTATTCATATTGCATACTACTAATTTCTTTAAAAAATAGTAGATAGTGTGCCATTGCAAACATATGCAACAGTTGTTTAGTTTCATCTGTCATGAGTACTATCGAGAAGGCCTTTATAGAATATGAATATAGCAGTAATATTCACTTTTAGCATGGTTGTCCATTGTAAGATGATTTTAATTATATCGCAGCGTGAATCTATAAATAAAGATTCCAATGCATTTTCTTTGCCTCCTTAATAAGAACTGAATCAAATTGAAGAGGCTACAAGAGGGAAGTAATTTACTGTGCAATACAGTGCAGTAATACTTTAATATTACCTTAAAGGTCAACTGTATGATTTGACTAATATCTCAAAGTAAATAAGTCACAGTAATATTCTTGAAAGTGGGAGACCGCATCCCTTGTGTATTTGATAATTGCATGTCAGAATGTGAATGATTCAGTTTTTGTTGCCCGTTTGGGAGTTTAATATAAGTATTTCTAATGAACTTTTGTCTTTTCTGAAGGCATGCTCATGCTCATGAGGACCAGGTTAATTCCAAAGTTATCAGCGACTCCAAAAAGCAAGTCCCAGTTCTGGATAGAGAGAAAAACATTGCTTTTCTCCTGAAGGAGCTGGATTCCCTTAGAGACCTCAATAAGAAGGTGAATTCACATGTTTATGAAGTCAGTCATTCTGTTCCCGATCTTAACACGAACTTAAAACGAGGCCGTGAGGGATAGACTTACAGTCTTGTACTGGTTCATGTAATTTTCACAACTCACAACTTTCAAAACTGTTTTATGGAGTTTTTGTCTAGTGAAAATTTTTTCAGAAAGATGTTTTGCTAGTTGAACAATCAGTATGTTGTTAAACAACAGTACAATCCATTGAACGCGTGGTACTTCTATCCCTCACATCCTTTTTTTCATTCCTGTCGAAAATTTTATTTATGTTTATTAGTCCTTCACCACGGTCTACATTTTTACTCGTTGATTGATTTGTTTTGTAATCCGCTCATCCAATTAGAGACTAGACTAGCTTTCTTTTTGATATTTAGGTTGTTAATCTTGTGCTTCATGAAAGGTTTTCAACACTCTGAAAGTTTCAACATATTTCAGTTGTTGTTTTGCTGCATTCATTTAACCTAAAAAGTTACAACAGCCACATAGACTTATAGATTTGAAATTCCAGGTCAGACAGGAACGTGCCATTAGTTTGTTTCATTTTCACTACATGAACACAGATACAACTCATTTTGCTAAAATTATTTCATATGTGTCTTTCCTAGCAGCTCTGCTTAAGTTAGCAAACATTGACATACTTTTGCTGTTCACACTCAATCAGTCTTTTTGTTATCTAATGGCACTAGTGTCCTTTATACTCTAACCATGCATTCCATATTAACTAACTAACTTTAGGTAGGTAGCTAGCTTTTGTTAGCAAGTGTTGCCAAGCTAGTCGGCATTGGGTTGAAAAAACTCAATGCTGTGCTGATTGCAACAATTTCTGTTTCCATGGTAACAGTGAGTTCTGCGATTGTGGGTAGTGCAGTACTTGACAGTTCCTCTTTTTTTTTTATAAGTCCTGAATCATATGATGTAGTAGTGCGAATACAAAAGCTTGATGCAGTGGTTATAAAGTTGTGGTTGGCTGATATGAGTTTTCATTGAAAGTGTGGCCAACAGATGCCCATATACAGTATGAATTCAGGTCATAATTCACTTAAAAACATTATTTTCTGCATAAAGAAAATTAAACCTATTTAAAATTTTACTTGGGGTGAGTTTTTATTTATTTATTTTTTTTAAGAAATTAATAATTTTAATCAGCAAGGACACATAAAATTGATCAAAAGTGACAATAAAACATTGCTATAAAATTATATTTCAAATAGTTCTGTTCTTTTGAACTTTCTATTAATTGAAGAATCTTGAAAAAAAATGTCAGTTCCCTCAAAAATATTAAGCAGCACAACTGTTTTTTAACATTGATAATATTAAGAAATGCTTCTTGAGTGGTGATTTCTGAAGGATAATTTGACACTAAAGACTGGAGTAATGATGCTGAAAATTCAGCTTGGCATCACAGGAATAAATTACATTGTACAATTATAATAACATTTTACAGTATTACCGTTTTACTGTATTTTTGACCAAATGCAGCCTTGGTAAGCATTTTGGTTGAATTTTATGACCTGAAATGTTCTGCAGTTTCATACAATTTTATTATTAATTTACAGTTTTTGGTAGAATGTGGAAGTGACACAAACTAAACAAAAATTACTGTTTATCTACCAAGCAGGTATGTTGTTTATTTCTTTATTTTGTCGACCTCATGAACTCTGTTATAAACGTATACTTATGTCTTGTGTGTTTGCAGCTCCAGGACAGGTTGGCGCTGAAGGAGAAAGAGTTGGAAACCAAGCTGCTGGACTCTCAGCTACAGGAGGCTGAGCAGGAGGCGTGTGCCAGTGAGAGAGCAGCAGGTAGGACACATGGGTGAAGAAATAAATATAAATGGTTGGAAAGAATCAAGATTAAGTAGACTCATTTAATATGGCAGCATTTAGCTTTTTTATGTGTTTAATGTGAGGTGTGACGTTGCATAGATCTCTAAATGGAAACGTCTGACCTTCCAACACAGCTGAAGAATAAACACTTTTAATTAATTAGTTAGTACATGTCAGCAGAACCCGAGAAAAGCACACTTTGACATTTGTAAACATAAACCAGTATGTCTAACATAAAGCGCCTTCATCAGAAGTGATCATTCCTCTCTGTAACTGATTATTTTGTCAATGAAATCTACACGCTTCTCACCTTTGCTGAACAAATATTTAAATTTAGCCAATATTCACTTTTCATTTGATCTTAACTAGCTAAAAAGCGCCACCTCAGAGTTTGTTAATTAAACGGAAACATGTGACACATGATATATATGACACACAATTAGGTAGCCAAATTGTTCATTTAATAAGGCAATGATAATGCATGTATTCACCGCCCTCATTTCAATAGGATTTGTATGGTTCAGGTTGGAGATGTTTAATCAGCAAATTCCAGCAATAATGATTTGCTTTGTGAACTTTGTAGTGGCTTAGTGTGGGAATGACTGTTTATCGTAACATGCAGGAAAGAATTGATGCGAGTGATGGATAACTGTGCTGCTTTCGGTGGGATTAGAGATGGTGCCAAGGACCGTTTGGTAATGCCAAAATCCTGTGGTTTTCACCAAACTGTCTGCTTGATTTTTGAGTTTGGTGCAGATCAGGTCGGGTGCGTGAATTAAAATCAGTGCATGTTTGATCAAAACTTTCTTAGCTGGAGTCTGCTTGTTTGTTTATTTTGTTTTCATTCAAGCATTTCTTTATACCTTCTTTGTTTGTTTGTTTGTCTGTTATTTTGTTCATTCATGTGTCCTTTGTCCATTTTAATAAATGAATTCCTTTATTTCTTGGTGTGGCCTTGGACTGTAATAATGCTTTGCAAATTGGATCATGGATCATTTAATTTGTTAGTTCATTATTTCATTTGCTATTCATTCATTCATTCATGCTTGATTGTCCATTTTTTCATTTTTTCGCTCAGTCAGTCAGTCATTTATATTTGCTTTGTGTGTTATAAGGTTTTAGAAATTGGTTCATAGATAATTTAGCTTGTTGGTTCATACGTTTATTTATTTATTGGTTCAGTTCTTTGCATTCATTCATTCAGTTGTTCATTTGTTTGTTTGTTTGTTCAGTCATTAATATTTGCTAGCGGCCTTTGTGTGTAATAATGCATTGGACTCATGGATACTTCCATTATTTAATTTGTCATTTTATTGATATTATTTGTTCAATTGTTCAAATTCATTTATTCATTTCTTTTTGTTTGTTTGTCTGGTCAGTCAGTAATTTATATTTGCTTGTGTTTTTGTATATAATTATGCTTTGGAAATTGGCTCATGGTTCATTTTTTGCTTGTTTTTACTTGTTAGTTTGTTCATTTATTTATTTGTTTATTTATTTATTCATTATTCTTTTGTGTTAGTTTGTTCTTTCGTTCAGTCATTTATGTTTGCTAGCAGTCAATATTGCTTTGCCATAGGCCTATTTATTCATTAATTTATTCATTCAATCGTTATTTGGTTGTGTGTTTGTTGATTTATTCATTCATTCATTTAGTAATATATATTTGATAGCAGCCTTTGTCTCAAGTATTGCTTGGAGATTCTTGGAGACTCGTCAGTATGCCCTTGGACCCATTCATCATTTGTTTGTTAATTTGCTTGTTTGTTTCGTTCATTAGTTCATTCATTCACTAGGGGACTTAATTTCCAATATTGTTTTGGAAATGCGTACGTCAGCATGCCCATGGACCTTCTGAGGCCTGTAGGTCAAACACAGTCATGTTTGTCCTCCTATATGAGGATATTTTTCTGATGGTTTCTGGTATTCATGAGCCTGGTGTAATTGCTTGCTGTTCCCGTACAATGTTGATAAACCAGAGTGTTTCCATGCTGAAATTTCATAAATAAAATGTCTCCAAGTCTCCGGAATGCTGACTTCAGGGTGTTGCTGCTGTTTTTATTGCTCTGGGCGGTCGTGCACACACACACTCACGGATACACACACACACACACACACACACACACACCTCCCCAGGGGAAACTGTCTTCTCAAAATAAGGCTCACTTAGAGTTATTAATACTTATGCCATAGTGTTTCAACTGCAATAACCTCTTTCCCGAGGAGCTTAGCCTTGTTATTGTGCAGCTGGAGCACTGGAGTGCAATACCAGAATAAATAACCTCTCTCTCTCTCTCTCTCTCTCTCTCTCTCTCTCTCTCTCTCTCTCTCAGCGTTAGTCGATGAAATCTATAAGGCTCAGAGGGAGAGAGACCAGGCTGTGATGGCCAGACTGCGTCTGGCTAATGAGGAGAGGGATGAAGCTTTACTTCGGGCAAAGAAGCTTCAGGAGGCGACGCTGGAGTATGTGCCATTCAAACCTCTTCCAAAACAGAGCATCAGTTCAGCCTGTTCAACAACATGCTGCTCTAATCATTTCTATTCTCTCAAAGGAGCACCTCAAAAAAATGAAAATCAGTAATCTGCCAAGTTGTCTATAAAATTGTGCCATCATACTCAAATTAAGCTGATGATTGTCTGTTTAATGATACTCATTGGGTTTTGTTTATAAAACAGGAGCCGAATGAATTTCTGTGTAAGTCGTTTGTAAATTGTCACTTTGACTTGAAAATTGTTTATGTCAGAATGGTTTTACGAATGATTTACACAGAAACATTATTTTTGTAAATGAGGCCCATTGTTTGTTGAAGCCCTGGCTTAGTGGTCTAGACATGTTGAGCTTCGGTGCTGATTAAGGCTGGCCGATGCAGCTACATTATTCCATATACATCTCCATATATACACTACTGTTCCAAAATTTGGGGTCAGTAAGAAGAATTTAATACGTTATTTAGCAGAGATATATTAAATTGACAGTAAAGGCTTTACTCAGCCTTGGTGAGCTTAAGATATGTCTTTCAAAAAACAAACTTTTGAATGGATATGTAAAAACATTTATGAATTTGGCAGACACTTTTATCAAAAGCGAGTTACATTGCATTCATGGTAGACAATTTATCAGTTCATGCTTTACAGTTTGAAAACTTATTTGAATGGTATTGCAACACTTTTTTTAACCAATTCACTGAAACCAATACTGTAGTTTAAAAGACTTATTGAAAATAAATGGAAACTTTAAAATTTTAAATCACAATTAAAATATCTGTTGTAATGTAGAGCTTTCCTAATGACACAAGGAGCAATCTTTAAGAAGTTTGATGGCTGTAAAAATGTTGCTATATATTATATTGCCAAAAATAAATGTTTGAATATTGAAGATATTAATTATTTGCAATATATTCAAAGTGTTACCCAGCCTTAGTTCTCTTACAGTAAGTAGAGCTTGATAAATCTCAACGCATCTCATCTAATTTCTCTTCTCATTTATTTTTCCTCTGTTGTACCTAATTAATAGTATTAATGGTATTAATAGAAGTAGTGAAAAGGGATTATGTTTGGTGACATTATAATATGTCTGATAAACTTCTTTAATGTCGTCTTTTAACTCATCGTTGATAAATGGATAACTCGGAAGCTTACTTTATGGTCCAGATGCTTTTGTGTTGTGATAAATGGAAAGCCTGAGGTTTTGTTTCCACACTTCCAAGAGCCATTAAAGTTTCTCAGCGTTTCTCCATGAATTTCTCAGGCAGTGGATTTAAGGGTTTGAGAAGCACGAGAGGCATGTGGCTTTGCTCATCATTGCGATGGGAAGCAGCTTTATTCTTCCTGCTAGAGGAAAAGCTGAATGAACAGACAAGGGTTTGAGGGGAAATCCAATATCGATTGGTTTGGAAATATATCAGAGGGGTGTGACATTTTTAAGAGTCCCCTCATCCTAGTACGGGGTTGTCAGTCAGAAGTTCCACTCTATAGGAAATCAATCCCGTGCTTTAGACCTGTGAGTATTTACCGTTTGCCACCCTGCCTGCGGGGTCCTAATTAATATGATCTTCTTCTTGTATGTTTAACTGCTCATAACTGGTGCTGTTGTTTGATGATGGGCCTTTTAAAACGAATATTGCCCTGTGCCCTCCAGGGGATGGATGCATTTATATCCTGTTCAGCACTGTTTGTGGTTTTTAAAAACAACAACATATATGAGTATGCAATAACATATTTTAAATTTACAGATGAGTTTACGCCAGGGGTGTCCAAACTCGGTCCTGGAGGGCCATTGTCCTGCAGAGTTTAGCACCAACTTGCCTCAACACACCTGCCTGGAAGTTTCTATGCTTAGTAAGAGCTTGATTAGCTGGTTCAGGTGTGTTTAATTAGGGTTGGAGCTAAACTCTGCAGGACACCGGCCCTCCAGGACCGAGTTTGGACAGCCCTGGTTTACGCTCTTCTTTATTGCTTGACGTCCTTTTCCAGAGGTATTCATATAACCTTACACCCTGTTTAATATTTCAGTCAGCCTCATGATTTATTGATAGTTACTCAAGTCACTCAAAAGAACCGCAATTATTGAGAGGCATGAAATGCATTTTCTGGCTGCCCAATGAGCGCAAGATCTCGTCAAAATCTAATTATAAAATTGCATCCCTCTTATAGCTGTGTTCAAGGGCTCCATTCCGGCCCCTCTCTCAAAAAAAAAAGATAATTGATAGCCAAGTGGAATCCCATTATCTTTGAGGGAATATGGACGCATGTGTTCTAAGCCTTTATTTTCGGAGGTCACTCTTGGGTCCATTGTGTGAATGAGTATGTACCTTTATAATGGATGGAGATCCATGTAATGCCTTTGTAAATGAGTGGAGGGGTTGTTGTTTTTTCTGCCTGGTGGCTGATGGATGAATTCGATTTGCTCTTAAAGGAGCATCACGCTGGTGAGGTCTGTAAAATTAGGCAGGGCGAGTTTATGCAGTTCACCTGCTGTTGTTTCTCACTGAAACCAGTGAAAATGTGGCAGTACAAATATACAGTGGAGCGCTTATATGTTGTATCTACAATACCGTTCCAAAGTTTGGGGTCGGTATGTTTTTTATAAAGAAGTTAATCTAAGCAGGGATACATTAAATTGATCAAAAGTGACAGTAAAGACATTTACAATCTTACAAAAGATTTCTATATCAAATGAATTCTTTTGAACTCTTTTGAACTTTCTATTCATCAAAGTATATTGAAAACAAATGGATCACGGTTTCGACAAAATTCAGCAAGTCAGGATTTTATAATGATTTCTGAAGGATCATGTGACACTGAAGAATCATGTGACACTGAAGACTGGAGTAATGAAGCTGAAAATTCATCTTTGCATCACAGGAATAAATGAAATTTTAAAATATATTCAAATAGAAAACTGTTCTTTTAAATTGTAAAAAATATTTCAAAATATTACTGTTTTTACTATATTTTTTTATTTAAAAAATGCAGCCTTGGTGAGCATTAAAAAAAAAAATACATTATATATTGCCAACACTAAATTTTAGTATGTACATATTTTTTATTATTTTGATTTTTTTTTAAATAATGGTAGAAATATTAGACTTGTTTTAGTAATTAAATTTAAATATTTTGTATTCATTTTACATGATCATCATTTTGTTTAAATTTTTTTAACCATACAGCTTTATGTTAAATGATAATTAATGTACTTGCAGTTTTTGTTTCTTCTTCTTGGATTCTTGGACCCCACTGTATATGTTTCATACATTTATTGCAAAACCTCAAGCTTTGACCCGTCATGCCTTTGATCTACGTTAGCCAAGATCAAGTCTTTGTGACTCTGCATTTGTTATCAAGGTCCATATAAAAAAACCTTCAAAATCATAAATATTTCCAACAGTGTGTGATCCGTGTGTCTCCAGGCATTTGGCTCCATAATTACTGTTGTCTTTGCCTTTATAAAGATGCTCATGGCAGGTCTGGCACAAAAGGTTCAGGCCTAATCCGTCTCTCCGTTTCCCCACACATATGAACAATTGATCCCAATAGTCATATAAAGTAGTAAACATTAATAACTTAACAATTCGCTGTCAGTTCTGAGCAGAATGGGCATTACAGTGGAATAACAGCACGAGCGGTGGCACTTTTAATATCTCTGAGTGTGTCTTCTGCTTTCATACCAAAACCCACAGAATGCAATTACTGGATTTGGGAAGTGATCTCATTTTGCAGAGTGACATAAAGGAAACTCAAGGAAGCTCACTACATTTCATTTCTCTATTTCTCTCTCTCTCTCACACATGTGTTCTCTCTCTCCATCTCTCTCCAGGCTGGAGAATATTAAACCTGAAGAAAGTGATGTGGTAAGCCTTCCTCACTGGAGAATTTCATCTCCGATTGTTCTGTGTACCCTTTTTGTCCGACTGTCATAAATGAAAACACAACCTCAGGAAAGGCTTGTTTTGATGCTTATTCTGATGAAAGATTTCTTAATTTTCTGTGCATCTATTGCGCATGAACATAAATGATACCTTAAATCATGCCTCTATTGACAGTGGTTTGCTAATAATTGATTGACATAACATCTCAAGTTGCTGTTTCTTTCATCAAAAATAGCAAATAAGTGGTTACTGGCATCTATGTTTCTTGTACACAAGTAGTGAGATGCCAAAATGTTGCTGTAGTTACCAGTATGCCATCCATTACAAATTCAGGAGTAATTCCAACTGCATTTAACCGTTTAAAGCCTCATCATCATTGTACTGCATTGCATACAGAGCTTTGACCATTAAACCAAGTATTGAAATATCATTGTACTCAGACATACTATTAAGATATATAGAGTGACAGCTGATATTTATATGCATTTAATGCAAGTAGTCTGCAGTACTCATTTATAAAGATGTCATTGATTTACAAGCAATCAGAATTTCATCATACTGTTTGGCCATATACATATCTGCAACTGCACTAAATTGCATATTTGCTCATTTTGGGCCTCTGAATAAAATTAAGGTGTGGCAATGTCAGTGTCGGAACAATTAAAATAAATTAATAGTTATTCAATCTTAAAGGAATAGGTCACCCAAAAATTTTAATTGGCTGAAAATGTACTCACCCTCAGGCCATCCAAGATGTAGATGAGTTTATTTCTTCATGGAGAAATTTACAATTTTTTTTGCAACATCACTTGCTCACCAGTGAATGGGTGCCGTCAGAAAACAAGTAATCCACACCACTCCAGTCCAACACTTAATGCCTTGTGAAGTGAAAAGCTGCATGTTTGTAAGAATCAAATCCATCATTAAAGGGATAGTTCACCCAAAAATGAACATTTGATGTTTATCTGCTTACCCCCAGGGCATCCAAGATGTAGGTGACTTTGTTTCTTCAGTAGAACACAAACGAAGATTTTTTAACTCAAACCGTTGCAGTCTGTCAGTCTTATAGTGGAGGTGAATGGGAATCACGGCTCGAACAGTTCGGACATTGCAGTGAATCAGAGGTAAAAAACGATATAAATACTGTTCAGTTTCTTGCACAGACTGATCGTTTCGTGTCTTTACACATCAGTTTACCATCACGAGCCGCAGGGTTTAATGTGGTTTTGTTTGTGTATGTTTTTTTGACTCTCAAAGCCGTGATTCCCATTCACTTACATTATAAGACTGACAGACTGCAACGGTTTGAGTTAAAAATCTTCGTTTGTGTTCTACTGAAGAAACAAAGTCACCTACATTTTGGATGCCCTGGGGGTAAGCAGATAAACATCACATTTAAATTTTTGGGTGAACTATCCCTTTAAGGCATTTTAGTTTTGGCCAAAATGCCAGTCCATAATCACGCTTCCTCCAGTGAAAAAGTCCATCCCCTGTTGTCCACTCACATCAAAATCCACCCACATATTTGTTAAGAACTCTTTTGGACTCTTTTTTTCTTGTAAACAGTGCTTGGTCTGTGCATATTTCTCTCCTGATTCAGACGAGACAACTTTTTCACTGGAAAAAGCAATATTATGGATAGAGAACTCATATTTTAGTCGTCAGCAATGGTTTGAATTTAAAAACATCTCATTCAAATGATGTAATGCTAAATTCCTCCAAATCTGTTCTGATGAAGAAACTCATTTACTAATTTTAGGGAGAGTAAATTGTCATCTCTGTGTGAACTATTCCTTTAATATGTGTTTAACTGATATTTGAAATGGCATTTAACATTTTGTGCCTGATATGAGTTGTGATGCCATTTGTATGTTTTGGTCAGGACCTGGAGGAGTTGTTGAACAGGGTTAACAGTGCAGACTCTGCCCTCGCTATCGAGCAGAGTGGGGCAGCCATCATCGAACAGATCCAGAGGGCCAGAGAGCGTCGCTCCCAGATCACCTCAGAGGAGATGAAAGCCGTCATAGAGGAGAGAGATGCTGCTTTAACCAGGGTACAAACCTATGGCACACACTCTTTCTCCGCTAAGGGTCAATCCTAACACGCACCAGCCCTAAACACTCCGTTCACAGTGGTTGTGTGCCAAGCCAGAAACCTTTACACTATAGAAAAAAAAAATCAAATATGACTCTCTAAATATTGACTATCTCTCCTCCTGCGTTTTAACTCCTAAACTTTGAGGAATAGAAAGTTAAAAAGAGCAGCATTTATTTGGATCAGAAATCTTGTGTAACATTATAAATGTCTTTACAGCCACTTTTAATAAATTTAATGCATCCTTGCTGAATTAATAAGTCCTTAATGAATTAATAAAATAAAAAAATTTAACCTTATGACTGGCTTTGTGGTCCAGGGTCACATATGTTATTATAGATATGCTATTATAGGCCATTTAATTTGTCTAAATAATATGTTCAAAGAATGTAAAAGGACTTGTTTTATTTAAAAAATAAAATAAAATTAGGGAACACCAAAATGTTTTGTGAAAAAATTGATTAATTGAGAACTTATGGTTAATTTTTGCTCTGTTCATAGTGTAAATGTATCACTCAGAGTCTTCCGATTGACTGAGTCCTTTATTGGAGGTTGGCCAGATTCATAAAAGGAACCCTGTCGTGCACACAAATTCAGCTGGAAAGCCAACCATGACAACCTGTGTCAACCTCTCTGATATGAACAGAAGGCCAGGTGTCAGTCTTCTAACTCCGCCCAAAGTCCACCAGCACATCACTGCCAAATGCTGCCCTGCGTTTTCATTGGGGCCAAAAACCTGAATCTGTGGGGCAATTTCAGAAGTAAGTTGCAAACCCCACGCCAAATCCCTCAGAGACGGGAATGGGTCCTCTCTCTATCCTCAAGGATATCTCCCTCCCCTGCCGTTCCTCCCATCTCTCTCCTCATCTCGTAGGGATTAGAGCCCGACTGCAGGCAGAGGGCCGCCACATCCCTTTGGCCTGCCGGAATATGAAAAGCTGGATAAGTGCTGGAGGAAATAAATCTTATTCTCACTTCCATCCTCTCCTCACGGTTAACGCGGCGAATAAGATCCGCTTCGTTATGTCCCTGCGCCGGGTGCTTATCGAATTTCTCTTGATCTTGATAGAGTGCTGATTGTTAAAGTGAGAGAGGAAATGAAGTCGCATCTCGTGGTGAATTAAGGTTGGCTTGAGGTAATCTGCTGATTTTTTTTTTACGCTCGTAGAACGTGTCACGTGGTTCAGACCTCTCATTCATGCTCTTGTGTTGTTGTGCTTTTTAATATGGATTAAAAAGTGAAAATAGATTAATATGTCTGTTCCTACGCCCCATTTCGCCCCAACTGCAGCTATTTTTGGTGCGCTAACGGCCTTTTGCGTCACCGCAGAGGTGCATTCTGATTAAAATACGTTTCCCTCTAAAAGACATCTGCTGCCCGAGAACCATAACTCAGGCTGACACTAAAGAGGAGCTGTGTGTTTTGTCTGGACGGCGGTGGTATTATTTTAGTCTGCAGAGGAAAGAGACAGGAGTGGGGTCGGTGGCTGAGAGGCTTGTTTGCACGGGCGCTACTCTTTGAGACGGCTGAATGTTGAAACATTGGGACTTGTCAGGCCGCGAGGATGGTTTACATTCCTGGTAAGTGTCCATCGATCCTGGAATGTGCACATGGAGAGGAGCACATATGGACTGGTAGAAAACAAGCCCGCTTACAATAATACCCACCAAAGAGCTGGTCATGTCAGTGTGTGTTTAAAGCGCCTGTTTGTCTGTCTGACAGCCGGCCAGAGAGTCTCGTACTGTATGGGAAAATGAGGATAGGCTTTGTGAATAAGGAATTATGTATAGGCACTTGTGGTATTGATTAAAAGTACTACTTGGTTATATTTGAATGTAGTGAAACGATTTGCATCATTTTGTGTTTATACTAGTTTTAGTATTTATAATACTTGAGCGACTGACACTGGCAGTTTACCCTGAAGCATGTAAAACCACTTTGTCTTATGCCACTTTTGGAAAAATGCATTATTATATATTATAAATTTCACATTTACATGGTTATATTTTGCTTTGATTTAATATTCATTTAGGTACATTTAGTTGAGCCATTGTTTACACAGTTTACCTCAAAAGACATGTAGTTTAATTTGTTGGAAAAATTAAGAATTTAGTCATTCTCAATAATTTACATGATTGTAAATATTTATTTTACTTATTTATTTATTTTATTTGGGTTGATTTTTACTCATTTAATAATTTTTTTATTATTCTTTTTTTATATATAAATTTGCTTTGGCATGTAATTAATTGTACCTATATAACATTACTGTTAGTACAATTAGTGGGAAAATTAAGTTAAGTTAAAAAAATTTAAATACATGAATACTACTTAGTTACTGAAATGGTTTAAACTACTTGTCTTTCCCCTCTGTGGACGTTCCACAGCACTCTATTGAATTTCGTGCATATTTTTCTTCATAAAAGACAGTGATTTTATTTTTGAACTATACCACAAATGAGTCTGACCCTCCAGGGATCACAGACACAAACGGTGAGTAATATCAGTAAGTGTGTGCTGAGGTTCTTACAGTAAATATAGTAATAACTGAGAATGTAGGTTTATACCCTGCAGAGATTTCACCTCTCTTAGAACTGACTTACATACACATGATTTTTCCATGTGGCAGTGCAACTGGTTTTCACAGGGTTCCTGAGCCAACTTTAATGCAAATATTATTTAAACGCTTTCAAAAAAGTTAAAAGATAATCATATTTGTCCACCAGTGATTTGCAGTTTAAATTATTCTGTCAATATAATATCCCCCACACTTCAAAAAGAAAAAACAATTATATTCCATAAGATTGTAAGAGTAATATCCAACCAGTTGTTTTAAAATGTAAATATAATAAACTATAATGCATGGTGGAAATTTCTGAGAAACATCTGTCCCACTGTACAGAACCAGTGCATTGAATGTGACCTAATAGGATCATTTAACATCATTTTGGCTTGTTTAGTTAATGCAAAAGCAACCAAGTGTCAAAGCAAGTGTCTTTTAGCTGGTCTAATCACCTGGGTAAATTCTGATTTAATGCAGTCAAGTGATCCCGTTTCTCTCTCTCTCTTCCCCAGTGCAAGCGTCTGGAACAAGAGCTGCTTCGTGTGAAAGAGCCGTGCCATAATTCTGCAAACAGCACCCGCCACCTGGCCACACAAAACAATTGGGAACGAGCGAGCAAGGTAAAACACACACACACACACACACACCTCCCACGTGGGAAGAAGCCTCTGGAAATTAATGTCATGAGCCCTCGGGTTAGCCTGCGCTAGCTTTCACCGAATACACGAAACACGCCAGGGTGTTTGCCAACAACACCATTCTCGAATCCGACCTTCACCGTACGTGCAGTCCTGGCCCCCTTTTCAGCCCGTCATTACGCTCTCCACTGTATCATTCATTAACTTCTATTTGCTCTCTCCTGCTCTTGTTTTCCAGCGATTTGCAGCGATAGACTGGTGGCCCCGGGTGTCTGTTTGACAGGGTTTTAGGATGACACAGGCTGGTCAGTGTGCTGCGATGCCTCGCCGCGGGTCTGTCAGGGAGACGCAGGGCAAACATGAGCCTATTTGATTTGCTGTATTTATCTGATGCAGCCAGAGCCCTTGAGTTTAATGCAGTGCTGTAAAAGGGCCGTCATTAGATAGAGCTGAGTAAACATGCGCTGAGAGAGACTGGGGCGAGCAGGGGTGCTGAGTCAGGGCCATTCCCCGAACTTTAACACAATTACTAGCCTGCATCTTAAGCGAATATAACTTCATTTGATGTCATCATCCACTTAACCACTTAAGATGTCAGAGTGGAGGTTGAGCTTGTGTTATTGTTAGTGTGGTGACAGTTTTTATTTGATTTAACTTGATTACTTAACGTGTGTATTTTTCCTTTCGATGTACAGTTTTATTCATTGCATATGTACATATGAGTGCAATGGCAGTTAAATTATTATTCTTTAATAGTATATTATTAATAGTAATAACAAAAAGTTAGACAATTTAATAAATAATCTATAATAAATATTTTATTTATTTTACAGGATTATAAGAACAACAAGAAAAAGTTAATATTAGATAATTTAATAAATAATAAATCCAAAGAAAATATTTTATTTTATTATTATTTATTTACTTTACTTAAATGATGGTGATGATGATGATTATTATTTAATAAATCAATAATAAATCAAAATAAAGTATTTTCTTATTTATTTATTTTATGTAATTTATTTAATAAAGATAATTTAATAAATTAAAATTTAGTAATAATATAAATTATTTTATTATAAATTTTGCTTAATTATTTTATTATTACTGATTTATTTTACTTAAATTATTATTATTATTATTATTGAAATGTTAATTTATTAAAGGGGTCATATGATGCTGCTGAAAAGAACATTATTTTGTGTATTTGGTGTAATGAAATGTGTTTATGTGGTTCAAGGTTCAAAAAACACATTATTTTCCACATACTGTACATTATTGTTTCTCCTCTATGCCCTGCCTTTCTGAAACGTGTCGATTTTTACAAAGCTCGTCGGTATGAAAAGCGAGGTATGCTTTGATTGGCCAGCTATCCAGTGCGTTGTGATTGGCCGAATACCTCAAGCGTGTGACGGAAATGTTATGCCCCTCACCATATTGTGATGCCGTGTCCAGGCCGGAGCGATGAGACAAAAACATTAAAACCCATTATAAACGAGGCATTTGTTGCATCCAGTGGGGACATAATTACTGATTATAAAGACTTACTGTCTTTTTATGCGTTGCATCATGCCACGTAAACATAAAACCATGTCTGCATTTGTGATCGGAGAAAGCGAGTTGCAAATCCTTTAAATGAAAACGTACTTACAGTCTGTGAGTCAGAACAGCTGGCATTGTAGTCTACTCTACCAGGATCAGGAAACAGTCCTCCATAAAATGTGCTGCACACTTGTGAATATTGGGGTTGAACTGTTCTGGAACAGTGTTGTAAATACAACTTAACCACTGATTTCTAGTCGTGTCCTCTTTTGGAAGGCCAAACAAAGTAGTTTCGCTTTCACAGCATCACACACGGCGGGCTAGAGTGAGCAGCGGCCGGCGGATTCGATGAAGGAGCAGCCTGCGGGCTTACGGCAACCACATGTGATGACCCCGGGCTGGACTCCACTTCGTCCACGGTGAAAGCCAATCCGGCGATCCACAGCGCAAAGTTGATGTATTTCCTCAGCGACCAGCACGGATCAGCTCCAGGCATGACAAAGCGGATATCGTCCTCTTTTGGAAAACCAAACAAAGTAGTTTCGCTTTCACAACGAAACACACAGCGCCTTCACGACATGGCGGCAGGGACAACAACAATACTACAGCGAGAATAAAAGTTACGCCTTCTTTCTTTGCGTGAACATTTGGGCGACGTTATGCAAATCTTCCCACATCGTGACGTAGGTATGTGGGGGCGTGTTAGAACGAGCCGTTTTAGGTAGGCGTGGTTGACTCTTAACTTTTATAAAGAATATCTCTTTGAATTTGAGACTTTAGTCTTTGCAACTTTACAAATCTTCTTTATGCACAAGAGCTTGTAACACTTCAATGAAAAAGGAAAAAAAGGCCTGTAATTACTTGTTTTGATGGTGTAGCCATATGATAAACATTTGCTGTCAGATTCACAGTTTATGAAACGAACCAATGGTGAAGGGCAAAACTGATCATAACAATATTCCAGTTTTGTGATGTCACAGATTTTATGATTAACAAATAGATGCCGGTTTGTTTGTATTTAGTCGTGAAGATTTGGATTGTGGTCTGAAACTGCTGGGATGCAACTGTGCCACATGGCAACCATTACTGGTGTATATGAAATAATTATTTATAATCTGATAAAAAGGTCCAGTCTGTCTCCAGGCAAAGCTTTCTGAAGATTTAAAAAAAATTATATTTCACATTTAAGATGGTTCGGCTGATGGCTTATTAAGAAATATATTAAATTTTGTTATTAATGTAGCACTTGGTTTTTCTATAAATCCCCTTAATTATAGATTGACTCCTGGGATTACAGAGTGGGGTTTTTAATTTAAAACGAAATGGGAACAGCTGTCGTAAAATTAGTCAACAGTGCCAGGAACATATCCACAAAACAATTTAAAAATGAACAGGACTTCCACTTATCGATTGACATTTTACTTTAAAGAAAGCCGGAGAAAATCTGCAGGGTGAAAAAAAGAGTTGAGTTTAAGATGATGAGCAAAGACTTCTCCTCAGATCTTTATATTTAGCTTTTAGCTCACACTAACTTTCAGGGATTTCATTTGGATGATTAATTTCAAGGTATTTAATCGCCACACTCTTTAGGGATAGAGAACGTTAAGCAGTGCTCTTTTTTTATATGGAAATAATGATCAAAGATAGGCCAGTTTTTTTTCTTTTCTCTTTTCAATTAAGATGGAAATTAGGGGTGTATTTAGTGTTTGTTGTCATTTCATCATCATTTTTCACCAGAACAGCAAAGCACCTGCAAATAATTTTTTGGCTCGTGACTTTTGTCAGTTGATAGCACCCAGGGCTATTCCTTGTCTCATCTCTTCGGTCCATCTCATTTCCACCTCGGCACATGTAAAAGAACCTGTTCAACAACCATCTCAGAGCCGTCACACTAAATTTATCTTGCAGCTTTATTGTGGGTCAGGTTTTGCTATCTTTGTGGCCACCAGTTGCCCACAGTAAAAGATGACCTACAATAAAAAATGGGCCAAATAATGTCCAATTGAAATCTAAAATGTCTAGAATGTGTATCGAAGGGTGTGCTTGTGTTTTAAGGTGCAATAATTATCAGGCACGCATTTAATCTGTGTGCATCCTTACCCCTTTCATGTTCATTTTTAACTATTTAGCTAATTTGACTACAATTTCAGCACTATTTAACACATTTTCCAATGTTTAAATCTTTTCTATAGGATTGCTCGGATTTTCCCCTCCAAATTAGACACAGACAATGCAAAATAATCTGCCACTTTCATCTGAGATCTTAAATTTAAAACAATATGTTTACTGGAATTCCTGACTATAATTTAAAGTGTGTGTGTGTGTGTTAGCAAGAAAGCAGCTTTGTTGGGACCAATTTTAGGTAATTTTATGAAAATAAAAGAGAAACCTTTTTGGGAATGTCTTGACAAAAAACAAGATTCATTAAGGGACAAAAATGGCCAAAAAATTGTTAATTGTTACATTCTGTAAAGATTAGAATTAGCTTACATGTACATGAATCTGTAATATGTTAATGCTAGTTTGTCGGCAGGTTTTAGTTTGAAGCGCGCGAGTCCCTCTAAATGCTGAGTGGGGGATGTGGACGAGAGCTTTGCCCTCGCTCTGAACCACCTGTGTTTGCTCTGCAGCTTTTCCCTCTGCATTAAAAGCAGTGAAGTGATCTCACACGCCTGCTCCTGCCCCCATCACTCTCTAGGCCTAGACCTCACCTTTAACTCTTGATTTCATCTGCTCTGACCCTCATGGATCATTAAATGTGGATAATATTATCTTGATGGGGTTTTGTTTGTTGCCTCTTTGCTGTCAGTTTCCCCCAAAATGCCACTTCTGTTTAAATTGAAAATACTGAAATTATTCTGTGGAACACAAAAGTAGAAGCCAAAGCTTTCAAATCTCATTTGCACTTGTGTGCTTTCAAACCTGCCACATTTAATATCAGAGAATTAATACCAACATCTTTTTTTTGGAATGTTTGAAATTGAATGAACTAACTTGAAACATAGCAAACTAGTTATATGGACTACTTTTATGATAATTTTATGGTGCTTTTTTTTTTACTTTGATAGTCCCTGTTCACTATATGTGACCCTGGACCACAAAACCAGTCTTAAGTCACTGGGGTATATTTGTAGTAATAGCCAAAAATACATTGTATGGGTCAAAATTATAGATTTTTCTTTTATGACAAACATCATTAGGATATTAAGTAAAGATCATGTTCCATGAAGATATTTTGTAAATTTCCTACTGTAAATATATTAAAACTTAATTTTTGATTAGTAATATGCATTGCTAAGAACTTCATTTGGACAACTTTAAAGGCGATTTTCTCAATATTTAGACTTTTTTGCACACTCGGATTCCAGATTTTCAAATAGTTGTATCTCGGCCAAATATTGTTCTATCCTAACAAACCATACATCAATGGAAAACTTATT